GATTAGTGCTGTCGTTATGCCAACAGTTTTCTAAATAACAACTTAAAAAAATCGATCAAACTTCTTGCTGGCCTTGGTGTCATCTGAACAAAATACTTCAAGATTACTTCCCATAGTTCTCACAACAACTGGTTATTTGAAATAAATAGGAAGCGGTAATTGGATAGAAACTCTTAATATTTGTTTATACAGTGCCGACTTGAAGTGTTTTCGATTCTCCTTTTCCCTCAACTCTTAGAATTTCTCAGACAGCCAAATATTCGTAATATATGGCTATGAAACGCGTATCTGATGCCAAAATAAAAAGGGATTTTAATAGAGAAAAAGATTTTTTGTCCTAGCATTGATTCATATTTTCGTAATTTCCTGGCAGCAATTCTCTTAAAGAATAGAAGGTGCTAGACAGCATGAATTGTTGCGCCCGAAACCGCGGTTCAGACAGTGGTTAGCGTAACAGCCGGGTGGCCACACCTCTTCAACACAACTTTTGAAGCTGCTGAAACGTTTCCAAATGGTTAAATACTTTTTATTTTCTTTTTGACCTATTTTTATCTCAAAATTATGCTGTATAGGAATGGATGCCAATTAGTGGATGGGTGCAAAAACTAAACCATGTTTCACTCGTTCACGAATAAAATGAAACGATGATCTGAATTACAGGACGCTTTGTTTCCATTTCCTCTGAAAAACGGAGTAAAAGTCCACTTTTCAGCGAAGCTGAAGTTTCACGGAGCTCTGAATCGTCTACAAACCACATTAGAAATAAACATTCCGAACTTTTCGTTTAATCAATTCTTTATCATATAGTTAAAAGAATTACCAAGCAAGTTTTCCAAAATTTTGGACCGTAGGTTAAGTTAGCGAAAGCTGACAGTTGAACATCTGTTTAGAAACGTTGGGGTAGCTGGAGAAAAAAGGGGGGCTTTGTTTTATGGTTAGAAAATTGAGAAGAGCAGAAGTTTTCTGTGTGTCTAGGCGCGTGCTAGCGAGGCATCATTCACACTTGCACGATGGGGTTCTTTGTTAAGCCACACGGAGGAAATATTAGTTGTAAGAAATATTGATCAAC